AAAAAAAAAAAAAGAAAAAAGAAAAAAAAAGAAAAAAACATGCAGGGGGGGAAACATGCAGAATTCTCGGTTACGCAAAGCATAAAACGACCGATTGATATACATATATTCTGAAATAGTTCGAAGCAGTGAAAGTACATGACCTTCTTGCCGCTTTGACCTATTTAAAGTAGATGTACGAATGATTCATGATTCGTTAGTATGAAGAAAAATGCATTATCATGGTTAATAGTTTATTAATAAATTAATAAACACAAAAGATATTAAAATGTATATATGAACACACTTTCTCACATATATTTTATACCGAATTATATAACTTGTTACAATGACATGATATGACGTTATTAAAACTCGATTTTTGCAAATCATTTTTACTTTATGTTAAATGGTGCAATGAATTTTCATTTTTTTTTCTTTTTATATATTCTATCTTATTCGAGGAATGAAAATATTTATAGATATTTTACGATTCAATTTAAAAGAGCAGTAATAAAGAAAAAGATATGACGCGACGCCGCGTGACGATGCAATGGCTTCGAATCGATCGGCGCGCGAACGTATTTGCCACTGGGTCACGTGACCATTGCGCCTCGGAGCAACGAGCGCAAGGGCGCCTCGGCGTAACGCCATAGCATCGAGTGCTCGTGATTCCGTGGTTCTTGTATGAACGTGTGTTTTGTGGATCCAGTTCGAATGACAACGAGTTCACGATTTACTCTGTTAACGAAAGAATGTCGATGAACGCGTGAAACACAGTGTGCACTCGTGCTTTTGTGGAAAAATGTGAGGGCCGGAACGTTGCAACACTTTGCCGGAAGCAAAAACAGACCGGCGGTGAGTCACTGTCACGATCGATCATTTCCTTTCTCCTATTCCCATTTTTGAGAACGAAGGCCACGGCCACGTGCTGCATCCGTAATAGAGAACACCGTTTCGAACGAACATAACCTCAAAATTGTAAGAAAGCGTCGTTGCGGCGAGGTTAGAATTCGTTGTCATTGAAGATGTTTCATTTCGTGGATATTCATCTATATCGTGCAATTGGATAATAGAACAAAGTACAGTGATTGAAAATACATATTTCGAATGACGTAATCTGTGATAACTTTATAACGAACTATTAATGTACAATAAATTATCGATAGCTGATTATCAAAATTGCCGGTACGTATTATATATTCAATATTCTTGAATGTTGAATGATGTTTTAAATAATTCAACATTTATAGATTGTTCATAGCTATGTTGTTTCGTATATTTGAAGTATAGGTTTTTATTTATAATTGGTTCCAATATTCCTATAACCTTAACTATGTTCTAAACATATTTCTTATAATCCTTCGTATAATCCTTCCTTTTTTTTTACAGATCCTTCCTTTAGTTACAAAACCAGCATAATTGTCTGTGAAATTGAAAGAAGGTGAAGAAAGTGTTTCTGTTAGCATATTATCTATCAAATAGAAGAATCCACAATACATGTATCTTAAATTAAATATTTTATATAAGCAAATAGATACTTAATTTTTCGAAAAACTTAAAAGGATAAAGATAATTGAAGAATCGAGGGCGACCAATAATATCACGAGGATTGATCACATATCTAATTTGATGCCGGCCGGCTCAAGAATTTCCATCGAGCGAATCGTGTGACCCGACTTGCTTATACAGTTTAATAGGGTCAACTTAACTTAAGAAATAATTAAGCTTAATATAACCGAGTATAAAATTCAAAAGACATTTCTTCCGCTTCACGCAATGATAAGGCTTAGTCATCAAATAAATGTAAAATCGATAAAGTTGAGAAAGATTATTTGTTTTTCATATTCTCTATTGAAATAAATTTTATTAATTTTGTATTGTGAATATTTTCAATGAAATAATCAATATTAATCCAGATCGATTTTCGAAAAATTACAAACAACTAAACAAATTTTAAAAATAGTTTTATGTTACTTTTATCTAATTATTAGATTTGTCTTTAATAGTCATCATAAATTAATATTTGCCAAGTTAAACTTGAAAAAACAGAAATTAATAGAAATAAATATTACCCCTATCGAGAAATATTCATTATGGATTCATACAATCTTATATACTAAACATTTGATAATAAATACAATATTACCATTATCTACGTAGTACTAATAATACACTTTTAATTAATCTCGTATCGTGTTACAATTATAATAGTTTTCCAAATAAAGGCTTAGACAATATGGCGTATATGAAATATCAAGTGACACCTGTTGTACATGGTTCATGGATTCAATGTAGATAGCAAACGAATTGCGTTTTCCACGCAATTAATAGACATTAATAGACATTAATAGATATTAATCGATTGTTGGAAATTGACTCGTTTCATTGTGGCGACCATACAATTTCGCGAACGATGTTCGTAACATTAGAGTATGAACGAAAAAGAACAAAATTTGCATAAAAATTAATTCAAACAATTTCAAGGAAGTCTCTTTCTTTGCTTATATTGTTATTTTCATTAATGATTTATGAGCAAACTCATATATAAGTAAATATTTGAAAATGTTTTATTATTCAATATATATAATCTTATCATTTTTTAATGGTTATTATGTTAAAAAGTCTTATTTATGTTTAAGAAATATGTTTTTACTCTAAACTCGATTTTTTACTTAATATTTAATGTTTTTATAGTGAAATATTAAAATAAAAAACCCAATTGAAATCGAATCGAAATCATTTTTCGAATCGTTTAGTAACTTTTCAATATATTATAAGATTTTCAACTTTAATTTACATTCAATTCAAAATCGAAACGTGTATCTGAAATAAAAAATAAGAATAAGGAATTCATCTTAACCACAATAAAAATAATTCCAGTAAAAAGAAAAGACATTCGTCATCCATCAATTGTACAAACTTATGCAATTTTGTGCACGTTTGATGCAATGCCAATTTTTCTCAATATTTTTTCAAATAAAAAAAAAAATATATCAAAAGTTTCCTTTACCGTCTTTTACGATTCTTTAAACGGAAACAATATTTATCACGATACAAACAATTCCAATTAAAAAAAAATTAATTATTAATTTTATAAATTTTATATAATTTGATATCGATTTTTTTCAAGTGAAAAAAATTACAAAAGTTTCTTTTATACCCTATTGTCTAAACGATTGTCTAAATGTTCAAATTAGCAAGAGAGCAAGATTTACCATGAAAATTGTGAAAGAATAAGTACATGATCCATCGTTACACCCCTCTATATACACGAAAACTAATAAGCAGCTTGGAGGATTATATGTCTCGCTTTCGAACTCCAATTAACACCTATTATCCTTTGTCATGCCATCCATTGTTTATTCGATCACGTTGATATAATATCCGGTCGTCGGGAGAGGCGTCTGGACGCGTCGCCGCTATGTCACAAACGAGATATATTAGCAAATATATATTATAGCCGGAACCATCATTGTCACCGTCACGTTTCCTCGTTCGCGGTTATGCTTACAATCCTTGCGAACTTCCTACCCGGCTGATTAAAACGCGATAGTGGTGGGGCCTGGAAGATAGTCAATGCCTCGTGGTTCGGACGCTTTTCAGTGTCGGCCGTTCTCCTCGTCCGGGTTGATTTCTTCCGTAACTTCAATAACTTTAATCAAAAGGTTTGCTCCTCAGGCGTCAGTTGTCGACCACAGATCGACTCGAACGCGACATTGCTCTTCGTTTCGACTCGAATCTCTTTCCATTTAATCTCGAAATTTGTAATTATTCGAGAGATAATATTTGTTAT